TTACTCAGAAGTCCCCTTCACCCATCAAGTATCGAACCCGGATCGTTACGATACAACGTCTTACCACTGGACCAACGGGCCTCAATCACGAGGCCCTTTGAAAGACTATTAAAATCACTAAAAAAATTATATCACTTATATATTATCCCAAAATGAGAACTAGAAACATTTGATCTAACTTGCGTTTCACAATTGGCTGCACTCACCATAGATTCTATTCTTTATGATGTAGTTCATTAACCTCATTTAAAAAACATAATTAGAATATATATTTATATTTCATAAAAACTGTGAAGTGATGTTCATATATGAGCAAAACAACCCGCTGTAATTTCTTTACAAAAAGCTGAATTACCTACCATAAATCTTTTATAGTTACTATCATTTCTTTATTCACACACACATACAGATTATATATATATATATATGTATATAAGTAGATTGAATACGGATCTAAACCTGACGATAAATGGCATATAGGAAACGCTTATCAATCTAAAAATTTGACTTTTATTAATTCTTCCTCAAAGATTAAGAGAAAACAATCAAAACGAAAGAAATTTGAAATTTTCCTTATTTTGATCCGCATTGGTCAGTCAGGTGTATTCATATGTATGTAAACCGTTGATAATTCTATATGTATGTATGTTTTTAAATATATATGATTTTTCTAAATAAATATATATGTAATGTAAGACATACATATATATATAATATATATATAATATATATTATACATTATACATAATATATATGCGATAAACATATATTATATATATATGCGATAAACATATGTTAAACAATATATATATATATAATATATATGATAAACATATGTTAAACAATATATATATAATATATATGCGATACACATATATTATACAATATATATATAATATATATGCGATAAACATATATTATACAAATATATATATAATATATATGCGATACCTATATTATACAATATATAATATATATGCGATAAATATATATTATACAATATATACATAATATATATACGATAAACATATTATACAATATATATAATATATATATATATGCGATAAACATATATTATACAATATATATAAAAATTTTATGCGATAAGCATATATTATACAATATATATATAATATATATGCCATAAAAATATACAATATATATATGCTAAATTAATATAGAATATATATAATATATATACTAAAAACATATATTATGCAATATGTATATATACTATAAACATATATTATACAATATATATATATGCTATAAACATATATTATGCAATATATATATATGCTATAAACATATATTATGCAATATATATATATATATATATATATATATATATATATATAATCACCTATTGATATACTTAGATGTATATAATTGAACCTAAGTCAGTGTGTGCTGTATTTTGTCCGTAAGATCGTTCAGTAGATATCTCGAGCAATAATTTATATCAATAAATAAAACTTTCTCGATACTTACCTATGTCATAGCGTTAATTCTACCCGAGATCAGATTTTCCTCTGACCTTGAGGATCATTCACATCGGGAAATTTTTCAGTCGATAATAAGTATTGTGAACTTTTTATTTATTGTTCCCATATCAAGTGTGTTCACCTTTGTAACTTCCATTCATAAAACGTACTGAAGCAAATCACGCTTGAGAAATAATGCACTGTATTAAAACTGCACTGCGTTCGCCAACTTCCAAGACGTTTTCTTCTCAACTAACGTATTATTATTCCACAGGCGTGCTGACAATATGTAGATTTTATTGCATGGTTTACATCAATACCTCTTTCAACGCTTTTCTGGTCAATTAATTTCGATATACAATCATATGAGAGGATTTCAGACGATATAAAATGAAAATGTATTGCGGTCCCACTGTTGGTTTATGAACCACGTCAGGGGCAATAACTCTTGCATACATAAATATTAATTAACACCTTCAGGTCCAATAATACGAGGCGGCATCGAACAATAAACGAAAAGACACAAAACAAAATTTTAGAAAAAATTTTATCATATGAGGAAATCGATTCGTTGCAATAAATAATAATAAAATAACCTTTAAAACGTTTTCCTTTAGTTTTTGAATGTTTTGCAAGGCGGGGTTTGTTATACGGAATAAATTAACAATGAGCTTTTCGTTCGCAGGTCATAATTTTGTTTTGCTTGACGTGAGCCTTATCTTTATTTCCATCTGTTTCGTTTTTTTTTTCTTTGTTGTTTACGCTTTCACTTAGCTAATGATTATTGTACCGTTCTAGTATGAACCTGACCCCTCCTCATATGCTTTATATTTACAATACCAAAAAATGGGGTACTGCTCCCATATATGTTTTAAAATTGCCCAGTACTCATTTTCCGGCTCTGAGTAAGTTCAAAAATGTCTACACGGCCTTATGGGTGATTAATTATTTTCCCGACTGGCGTGTCACATGACTGACCAAATGTAGCATATATTAACTTTTTTTTTTTTTCATAGTTTTCATTATTATTGATTTCTATTCTCTTTCTTTCTTCTCCTTCACTGTGGATTTTATTGTCTTCCATTGTGTTCTTTTTCTCTTTCGCTATACATTTTCATACCTATTCACTCTACTTTTATTCTTTTTCACTCTACACCTTTATACTCTTTAATTGAGTTTTTTTTTTATTCTCTTTCACTGTAATTTTCTCTTCTCTTTCATTGTAGTCTTTTATTCTCTTTCAATATATTCCTTCATTCTTTTTCATTGTGTTTTTATTCTGAGTCACTGTTCCCTTTTATTTTCTTTCATTGTATCTTTTATTCTCATTCACTGTACTCATCTCTTTCACGGTAGAATTTTATTCTCATTCGCTGTTCTCTCTTATTCTCTTTCACTGTATTCTTCTATTCTCTTTCACTGTATTCTTCTATTCTCTTTCACTGTGTTATTTTTATTCTCCTTCATTCTACAGCCTTATTCTCTTTCATTTTGTTTTTTTCATTGTTTTTATTCTCATTCTCTGTTCTCTTTTATTCTCGTTCACTGTACTCTTTTATTCTCATTCACTGTACTCTTTTATTCTCATTCTCTTTTTTATTCTCATTCTCTGTACTCTTTTATACTCATTCACTGCAGACTTTTATTCTCATTCACTGCAGTCTTCTCTCTCACTGTACCGATTTATTCATATTCACTGTACTCTTTTGTTCTCTTTCACTGGATTATTTTCTCTTACTCGATGTCTTCACTGTAAGTTTTCCTTTTTTTCTTTCTATCCGCCATGATATTCTGCTCTACTTTATCCTCTTCTTTTCCTTTCATCTTTTCGTCGTCATTTTTCCTCTATTTTCGTTTGTTGTTTTTCTGTTTTCTACTTCTTTATTTCTTTATTTTCTAACCTTTTTCTTTGTCGACTTTCTGTTCCTAATCATCGCCATTCATACCTGTAACTTTTCTCCATTTCTTTCTTTTCCTTTATTTCTTTCTTTTCTTCTATTGTAAATTGTATATTTGCTTTCTTTTGATCCTATACCTCACCCTACATGTCTATTACGTATTCCTCTTCTCATTTACAACAATGCCGTGTTTATTTCTTTTGTCCTGTTTTATTATTTATATTTTTCTGCCACTTACCTGATCCTTTCTAAGTAGTAGTGTGGCCATCACGCTTTCCCGATCCTTCAAACGTGGCCTGCTAGTTTTTCTGACCCTTGCAATGTGGCCTTCCCGTTTGGCCGATCCTTCATATGTGAGCCGAACGCTTTGCCAATCCTTCCAATGTATCACGAAGGTTTTCCCGATCCTTGAATGTGGCCACACGCTTCGTCAATCCTTCCAGTGTTGCCAACACGCTTCCCCGATCCTTCCAATTTTTCCCTCACGCTTTCCCGATCCTGCCACAGTATAACTCATGTTTTCCCGATCCTTCGAATGTGATCCACACACTTCTCAATCCTTCTAGTGTGGTCGTCACGCTTCCGCAATCCTTCCATTGTGGCCGACAAGCTTCCTCGATCCTTCCAGTGTTGCAAACATGCTTCGCCGATCCTTCCATTGTGGCTGACAAGCTTCCTCGATCCTTCCACTGTCGCCAACATGCTTCGTCGATCCTTTCAGTGTTGCAAACATGCTTTGCCGATCCTTCCATTGTGGCTGACAAGCTTCCTCGATCCTTCCAGTGTCGCCAACATGCTTCGCCGATCCTTCAATAGTGGCTGACAAGCTTCCCCGATCCTTCCAATTTTTCACTCACGCTTTACCTATCCTTCAACAGTATACCTCTGGTTTTCCCGATCCTTCGAATCTGATCCACACACTTCTCAATCCTTCCAGTGTGCTCGTCACGCTTCCGCAATCCTTCCATTGTGGCTGACAAGCTTCCTAGATCCTTTCAATCTTAGCAAACATGCTTCGCTGATCCTTCCATGTGGCTGACAAGTTTCCTCGATCCTTCCAGTGTTGCCAACATGCTTCGCCGATCCTTCCAGTGTTGCCAACATGCTTCGCCGATCCTTCAGTGTTGCCAACATGCTTCGCCGATCCTTCAGTGTTGCCAACATGCTTCGCCGATCCTTCCAGTGTTGCCAACATGCTTCGCCGATCCTTCCAGTGTTGCCAACATGCTTCGCCGATCCTTCCAGTGTTGCCAACATGCTTCGCCGATCCTTCCAGTGTTGCCAACATGCTTCGCCGATCCTTCCAGTGTTGTGAATATGCTTCGCCGATCCTTCCATTGTGGCTGACAAGTTTGCTCGATCCATCCATTGTGGCTGACAAGTTTCCTCGATCCTTCCAGTGTTGCCAACATGCTTCGCCGATCCTTCCTATGTTGCCAACATGCTTCGCCGATCCTTCCAGTGTTGCCAACATGCTTCGCCGATCCTTCCAGTGTTGCCAACATGCTTCGCCGATCCTTTCAGTGTTGCCAACATGCTTCGCCGATCCTTCCAGTGTTGCCAACATGCTTCGCCGATCCTTCCAGTGTTGCCAACATGCTTCGCCGATCCTTCCAGTGTTGCCAACATGCTTTGCCGATCCTTCCAGTGTTGACAACATGCTTCGCCGATCCTTCCATTGTGGCTGACAAGCTTTCCCGATCCTTTCAGTGTTTCCCACACGCTTTGCCGATCCTTCCAGTGTTTCCCACACGCTTTGCCGATCCTTTCAGTGTTTCCCGCACGCTTTCCCGATCCTTTCAGTGTTTCCCACACGCTTTCGCGATCCTTCCAATGTATCACTCAAGTTTTTCCGACCCTTCGAATGTGGCACTCATGCTTTACCCGATCCTTCCATTGTGACCTCTAGTTTTACTTGTTCTGTCACTCCTTCCAATGACCCCAGGTTTTCACGATCCTTCTAATGTGAATCCCTTACTTTCCAGACGATTCTAATGTGCCTTCCTCATTTTCCTCACTGTACTTTTTCTTTCTTTTTTCTTCTCTACCTTTCATCATTCCTATTTTCTGTTAATGCCAGCTTATCAGCCCTGTGTCTCTGACCCACCCAAACATCCATTACATATCACTGATTCTCAGGAATCATAAAAGTAATATTAAGTTTATTTTTTATTCACCTAACATATGCAGACATTCAATCAGATCGCATTTCACGCTCTTCAAATCATTGAACTGAATCCCATCTCATTTTCACAAAAAACAATTGCGATCTATGTATCTGAAAAAAAAAGGAAATGCTTCAGAGAGTTATTTGATCATGATACAAGTACGTATTACCACGTAGTTCTGATAACAAAGCAGCCTGGGTCGTTAGTGCTTTTATTTTCTCACCTTGTCTGAGGCGAAACTTCCCATAACGCCCTATGAGTATACTAGTTTTGTTTTTATGCTATTCAAAGTTATCAGCCGTTGAGCTGTTCGAGCTAAGTCAGAGCAGAGATCAGCTACAGGACTGAGAATGTATCTCGGCTAATCGTTAATAAAAAAAAAGCAGAAAGAGGATAACACTGAGAATGGTGCCTATTTGTACATAAGAAATAATAATAATTTAAAATGTAATGAAACACATCAAAACCTTTTTACATGTAACTATAATACGAAGGTCATTCAAAACAGGTTTACGGCGGTATTTCGTTGAAATACCAGTTCCAGTACGATCTTTGAAGTTGAGCAACATCCAGCCTGGTTAGTACTTAGATAAGAGACCGCTTGGGAATAGTAGGTGCTGTAAGCTTGAATGTGAGTGTAGTGTAATGGATAATAGCTCAAAATTGTTAATCGGAGAGCCGAGTTCCAATTCCGGTTGGGTTCGCTATATTCACTTAAGCACTAACAAATCTACCTCTTCTCCCCCAGATATGGATTAATTAGTAAGATTTTTATCACTAAACTATTATTATCTCAAAAAACGCTTGCATGTTAAGGAATATTTTCTGGTTTTAAATCTGATGCAATGGGTTGATAAGCCGTAGAAAACGAATCAATCAAACATTCAAAAACCTTCCTGGGGATGTGCAGGATAGATAACGGTTGATCTTGGACATACAAAAATTAAAGAACCTTCCGCTGCCTAGACGTTCCCGATTCCGCCGGCCCTTGACGTCTTCGTCCAGCCGTCCTTCTCCTCTTTTCCTCAGTCTGTCTTGAAAATCGGTTCCTCACGATTTTCCCATCGCCAGGATATGACGGGGCTCGGGAGCTTGTAATGGGGGTGGAACTCACGGGGGTCTGTCGTCGTTTGCGAGGTGCAGCCTCGAACTTTCCTTCCACCCCACCCACCACTGGTGAGATCCCGGCTTGAACTAGTCACGATTTAGGTCATCGAGTTTAGGAGCTGCGCGCAGGCGCATCACCCCCGGGTCGGTGAATTTTTTTTTTCTCCGAGTACGACTCTGCCGACTTTGGCGTAGTGAGCAGTCAGGGACCCGAAAGATGGCGATCCACGCCCGGTCGGGATGAAGCCAGAGGAAAGGAAAGCGCCTCTGCGTGCAAGTCGGAAGCGGGTGTAGAGGCGAAAGACCAATCGAGCCGTCTAGTAGCTGAGCGATTGAGAAACTTCATACATTGATTGACTTTCTTTTTCTATGTGCTGTGTGACCCTTCAGGACGTTACCTCTTACGGTATTTTTCTGGCATTCATGGCTCTTAATAAATTTTGTCTTTTTGTTATCTCCTCTAAACACTGTTCTGCCATCCATTTACTAAAGCTCTTTTTTTCTTTTTCTGTGTGTTGTGTCCCTTCAGGACGTTGCTGATCATGGCTCTCCACACTTTCCTGTCTTTCATAGCCCTTAATAAATATTGCCTTTTTGTTGTCTCCCCGAAACATTCTCCTTTCATTCATTTACTCATACTCGTTCTTCCTCCTTCTATGTGTTCTGTCCCTTCAGGACGTTGCTGATCATGGCTCTCCACACTTTCCTGTCTTTCAATAGCCCTTAATAAATATTGCCTTTTTGTTGTCTCCCCGAAACCACCTTCTTCCATTCATTTACTCATACTCGTTCGTCCTCCTTCTATGTGTTGTGTCCCTTCAGGACGTTGCTGATCATGGCTCTCCACACTTTCCTGTCTTTCATAGCCCTTAATAAATATTGCCTTTTTGTTGTCTCCCCGAAACCACCTTCTTTCATTCATTTACTCATACTCGTTCTTCCTCCTTCTATGTGTCCTGTCCCTTCAGGACGTTGCTGATCATGGCTCTCCACACTTTCCTGTCTTTCATAGCTCTTAATAAATATTGTCTTTTTGTTGTCTCCCCGAAACCACCTTCTTTCATTCATTTACTCATACTCGTTCTTCCTCCTTCTATGTGTCCTGTTCCTTCAGGACGTTGATGTGGTTCTCCTCACTTTCCTGTCTTTCGTAGCTCTTAATAAATTTATCCTTATCTGCCCTAAACCTTGCTCCACCATCCGTTTATTCCAGCTCTCTAGACAGGTTACGCGTTACTTTTCTCTGTCCCTCTTTCCTTCAAAATGTCTTGTGAGTATCAGATTTCTCAGGCCTTCTTTCCTCATTATGTGGCCTTTATATTTCAACTCTCTGTTTTCGATATTAAGTATAAGTTTCCTTTTAGTTTCCATTTTCTCTAAAACTTCCTTATTGCTCACATGTTCGGGCCATGGTATTCTCAGCATCATTCTGTAAATTATTTTTCCTGTAATATTCAGGGCAAATGGCGAGTAAAAAAAACACATAAAAATGAACCGACACAGATAGTGGGTGGTTTTCGATTATTCTAAAGCCCTCCTCCTCCTCCTCCTCAACTCTGGCATTTAACTTTTTCCTTGGGGAGGTGTTCGCCAACGGGTGAATCGACAAACAAATAGGGAATTCCTGAGGATATAAAGATATTTTGAGCCACTCTTCCTACGCAATTTAAAATCGACCTCATACCACATTCCGTTCGAGCGGACGTAGGATTTCTTTTCGCAAGAATCAGATACGGAATTATACAAGTTCTATAAAAGAATGCAGAGAATGGCGCATGTAAGCAACGAATAGAATAAGTGCTAAGGAACAAGGACAGTTATATTAAGTACAGTGACTCATTACGACTTCTTTTTTTATATATTTTTCTGCTGACATGAGCTGGAAAGTTTATATTGAATCAATTGCCAGGTCTGCTTTCAGGGAGGCTAATTCCTTGTGTCGTGCCAATTTTCTCACCATAATCTCTCTTACACATTTGTAAGCTTACGATTCAACTATGCACTGAATATTGCTGCCATATCTGGTCCGATACATCTGTTATGTACTTGCATTATATCAGGGCTATCTAAAGAATAGTCTACAATATTATCGGTCCTAACCTGGCATCTTGAATACAAGAACTTTACCCACGCTTTAACGTAAAGTCCTTCAGCCTTTTCTATAAATAACTTTTCTTATCATTTCACCCCAAGCAAGGCAATAAATCTACTAGAACGCAAGCGATTACTGAGTGTTAGAGAAAATGAGAAAAACTACTATTAAGGAGAGAGGAAAATAACAGAACAAGAATTAAGACAGAAGATAACCATTGATAGTTTATCTTATTATAACTCCCTAAGGTTATTGTATAAGACGCACGCGTATTTAATATAACGTAATTCGTTAAAGTATTCTCTATACACTATTTACGTTATTCGGACTATTGTCCTCACGTTTATAGCCATTTTTATCACAACGTTTTGGTCCTTGTACGCTCTGGCCTTCTTCAAGTGGCTGGAATGTCGAACTGAACCCTTTATTTCGCTCGCTGGAGTAGACTGTTCTAGTTCCACGTGCCATGTCTAATGGATGTCAGTTATCAATTCTCCTGTTAATTCACCTCTCCAAGTTTTCAACCAGGTATTGAATTCATAACTCTTTGGGTCCTGCTACTGGATCTAACCATCGCGTCATTGGATCTAACCAACCAGTTGTTAAGGCAGTGGAGAACTTGGAGAAGTGAATTAACAGGAAATAACTGATAATTGACATCCATTAGTCATGGCACGTAGAACTAGAACAGTCTACCTCAATGAGCGAAATAAAGGGTTCAGTTCGACATTCCAACCACCGGGGCGTAAAACGGCCGAAATGTGATAAATATCGCAACAAAGATGAGGATAATAGTCCGAATAATGTAAATAGTGTACATAATACCTCATCTCAGAAGTATAGACAGATATTCTCTATAGGTAAATCTGAGGCTATTGCTGTAAAGTCTATAGTTAGTAGGAAGATTGACTCTAATACAACTGATATCTAATCAGTTCCTCCACTGAGATGAGTTGTGACACTCGAACATTAGTCAAAATTTACCCAGACCCCGCAATGCCGAGTTTCTACCCGAAGACAGAGGTCTTGTCACGCTCTGGCCGAAGACAGAGGTCTTGTCACGCTCTGGCCGAAGACAGAGGTCTTGTCACGCTCTGGCCGAAGACAGAGGTCTTGTCACGCTCTGGCCGAAGACAGAGGTCTTGTCACGCTCTGGCCGAAGACAGAGGTCTTGTCACGCTCTGGCCGAAGACAGAGGTCTTGTCACGCTCTGGCCGAAGACAGAGGTCTTGTCACGCTCTGGCCGAAGACAGAGGTCTTGTCACGCTCTGGCCGAAGACAGAGGTCTTGTCACGCTCTGGCCGAAGACAGAGGTCTTGTCACGCTCTGGCCGAAGAAGAGGTCTTGTCACCGCTCTGGCCGAAGACAGAGGTCTTGTCACGCTCTGGCCGAAGACAGAGGTCTTGTCACGCTCTGGCCGAAGACAGAGGTCTTGTCACGCTCTGGCCGAAGACAGAGGTCTTGTCACGCTCTGGCCGAAGACAGAGGTCTTGTCACCGCTCTGGCCGAAGACAGAGGTCTTGTCACGCTCTGGCCGAAGACAGAGGTCTTGTCACGCTCTGGCCGAAGACAGAGGTCTTGTCACGCTTTCTGGCCGAAGACAGAGGTCTTGTCACGCTCTGGCCGAAGACAGAGGTCTTGTCGAAGACAGAGGGGCTCTGGCCGAAGACAGAGGTCTTGTCACGCTCTGGCCGAAGACAGAGGTCTTGTCACGCTCTGGCCGAAGACAGAGGTCTTGTCACGCTCTGGCCGAAGACAGAGGTCTTGTCACGCTCTGGCCGAAGACAGAGGTCTTGTCACGCTCTGGCCGAAGACAGAGGTCTTGTGTTGTCGCGAGCCCGAGACTGCGATTCGAATGGTATTTACCCAATCCTCCCAACAAGGAGGGGTGTGGCACAAGGCATAATTTCCTCTTAGTTCCTGCATACACAGGGTCGGGTTTGTCAACCCTTCCAGAGGAGACTCTTCTCGGAGTCATATCCTCGTCTGGGTTCCTCTCTACCCCAAAACAAATTTCTACTCGCCTGTCGCGAGCGTAGCAACGAACTACCTGACGCAGGTGAGACTGGTATTTACTAACCTCCCTACAATGCAGGAAGAGTCACAACGCCAATCTGTATGTGGGTCGTTTCCGAGACTGTAGGTTCGGGCAAAAATCTCTCGTGGACTCCGCATAAACGGGGTTGGGTTTCTGACGCAGGTGCGACTACTCACGACCTCATACCATGGAAATATTCATAGTACTGCACGAGTCACCGGCGGTGTACTCTTTACTCCACAACACATCTAAAACTTTGACTGGGAAGCAAGAAGCTGGAAGAGAATTTCACGAGAGAGAAGTGCTATAGACGAAAATGTTAGCATAGTACTTACGATTTCATCTCGTCATTTTTATTGGAAAATGAGACATTCCCGCCAATATACA